ATTTTTAGGGCTGAATAATGTTTCAAAAATTGTGTCCACAATTTTCTATCATTCTCATATTTAAAGAGTAGAAGTCAAACTTCAAAACAGAATCAAATCCATATCTCCAAATTTTGAATTTGGAATAGAAAATCCCTTCCCCTTATCTCTAATGTGGCCGGCCACCCTAGGGTTTCCTAACCCTGTGTGGCGCCAATTCAGATAGGGAAGGAAGAGAAAAATCATCCTTTATCCTGTAGTCCAATTTTGACTCAAATTCAAATTCCAATTTAAGTCAAACTTAAATTAATTTGAATTCTAAATTGAACAACTTATCAAATAAGTTTAAATGGATAAATCTAGATGTGTTCAAATTTAAATTTAAATAATCACATTATTTAAATAATAATTAATTCTCAATTAATTATTTTTTGAGTATTTAATTTTTAGAATTCTGTAATTCTAAAATTTCTATTTTGCCCTTTGTGTTTGGTAGAATGACAAGGACGACGCGGGGACTTATGGACCTATAATCCCGAGCTCCAATAAAATTAATAATTAATTAAACCCTTTAATTAATTAATTAATTCTATTAATTCCAATAGTTACTCCACTATAAACTTGGAATTGAACTCTCGAAATTATAGACATGAATTACTTCTAAACTGCGAAGTGTCCATTTGATATAGTCATTACATATAGATCAATCCTCCATAAATAATTCATAATTAGAGTCAGGTAGAATCCGTTAACCTCTCTAATTATATCTGCATCCTTGAGTACCATTGATTCTCTAATAGATAGTGATTCATAAAACACATTCATGAACCAGAGCGCTCTTACTAATCCAAGTACCGAATCAACACTCAAGAGAATTATTTATCTACTTCTTTCTCAAGAAGGAATGGATTCCATCTCGTATAATAACATTCCCAACTACCTATTTCATTATGTCTCCAAAATACAAGGAATAGGATTTAGGGTCTCGGAATCCGTACCGAGTACATTAAAAGATACAAATCCATAAATAGGAGTTTGTTAAGAACTCAGGATTAAGATCATCCTATATATGACCATCGGTAGACTCAATTAGAATTTCTATGCTTTAACGGAAATTATTAGAAATTCATATTGTGTCTGTGTCCCTGTTCCACATAATCTTATTATGCGAAATACAGTCATTCAATATCTCACCATATTAACAGTGTGGCTAACACCGTTCCATTCTAAATGGGAATGACATGTATTAATAATGTTTTAATTAAAGATTCCGAACTTTAATTAAATTCATCATGACCAATGTTTTTGATTATTATCCTTAAACACTATTCTCTCGTATATAACACTTATATACTATGTTTAAGGTTACATAAACAATCACGGAATTTTCATTTGATATTCATAAAATATTCATAAATATATGCACATAAAATGATGAATAAACTATTTTATTAATTAAATAATAAATATCCTATTACATCTCATGCTTCTAGGACACTATTCCCAACAATAGACATATAAAAGCAATTGCAGAGTAAGTGAAACACAGCAGACCCATGGGCAAAAATTGCATTATGCAGTAAAAAAAAAAAGGAAATTTCAAACAAAAAAAAAACAAAAAAACAAAAAAAAACAAAAAGAGCATACTGAAGATAAAGTTGTGTTGAGTATGAAAATTTATAGAGATGGGCCACTAGAAGTTTTCTATGATGGACGTACATATGTCATGCAGAAAAACAAGTTGTTGATGTAAGTGATAAACCCAGACTATTCCACACATAAAACCAAAACGCAATTTCGAGTGGAGACAAAGGGATGGCAATCGTGAGGTTGTCAAGATTACTCCTTCCCTTTCGCATATTTGGTCCATTACATATATATATATATATATATCATGCATATACGTACGTGGATATTTCTTTTCAATTTTTGCCTTGATTGGTTCTTTGAAAATTTGTTTGCATTTATATTTTATGAAAGTAACCATAGAAGTGATGAAAGGTATTCATAATTTAGTTAGTATGTGTAGGCACACACGTGCAATATAAGGTCCAGTGCCCCACTCCAAAATTTTGTTTTTCATCATTTTGTTTTAATACTGTCCAAGCTCAACTTTTATCCTTTCTTTGATGTTCAATATTATTGTCCTAGCTCAACTTTTATGTTTCTCCATTTCTTATAATAATTAGGCCATATTTTGTAGTCCATAAAAAAAATGGAAGGAGACAGAAATGGGAGAGAAAGTTGGTAAATTTTGAAATTTTTAGTTATTTGGTAACATGGATAAGCAGCCGAATATATCAAATGAAGGATTTAAAACCCTTTCTATTCTTTTTATTTAAGTTATTTACCTTGTACTACTTTCTAATTCTTTCTACGATCGAAACATATTCTTACACACCTTGGTAGGAGTGAGTAAAGTAAGAATTATGGATATATTGCAAAAAGAAAAAAGAATGATGCAGAGGATCATATGTATCCATTAATTAAGTTGTTTAATGATAGGGGAGAAAAGTTGAAAGAATGAATTGATACTTATTTTTTAGTTACTACTTTACATATTTTTTTCCTCATTTATCGTAGTTTTTTTTAGTGGATAAACTAGATTTTTTAAGCTTTCACTTGCGAATTTCTTTAGTCCTTGATTAGATATTGTTACGATTGCATTTTTTTTGTTTCATCTCCTCACTCCCTCCAACGAAACTAGAAGTTGACCCTCTCCTTCTATCTCTTCCTCTAACCAAATAAGCTAATTAGTGTTGTTATCTTTACATTTAAGTAAAATATATACGAATCTCACATTATTTAAATATGGAAATAAACACAAATTTATAAGGACGTTAGATCACTCTATTTAATATATTGACCTTTTCACATGGAAATTGAGTTAGAAAGTCCAATTCCATACGGTTGAATTTTCAAAACATAATTTTAACCATGGCAAACCTGCAACCAAATAGAGAATTTATACATAACATGCCCCTTTAAAACAATGTCTATAAATATGTTCATTATCTTTCTTCTTCCAATTTTTGCAATGTGAAAAAAAAGAAAATTAATAAATAAATAAATAATAAAATATCAAAGGCTATATGGCGAATTATATGCAGTAAGAACACAAATGTGTAAAAAGAAAAGATCGTACTAGAATAAATTATTTTCTGATAAATACTAGAATATTAAATTGATTTATTATGATAGCTAATGGTCATGTATTTTGCATGACATTGACATATATAGTGGCCAAATGATTGTGCATTGGGACACTTTGGGTTAGGGCCCTAGCATGTAAGCCACATTTACAGAACGGTTAGGAAAGCATGCAACACTCTGATTAGCCGTACCAACGAAGACAAAGCAACCTGACAATCACTGATCGATACAACACACAACCACCCCTCACCTTCAAACGGAGAGAGAGAAGAAAAATAAAAAGAGACTACTGGTAGTCATTTTTTACAAGACTATTGGAAAACGTCCCTAATTTTAAAGGAATATAATAGCATCGTTCACTTCGCGGATTTGAGTTTTCAATTCGAGTTAAGATGTGACATTTTTTAAGAGCTTTTCACTGTAGCAGAAAAAATTAAATGTGACATTTTCTGAAAATTTTTTACTGTAGAAACCTAAAATTGAAAACTCAAATCGGTGGAATGAACGAGACCATATGTAACTCTTAGTAGCATATGAATCTCGAAAAATAAATTTCCCTATATTTTGTTTGACTAATTAAAACTCAAAATCTTGTTACATAGTAACAATCTTACCACTTCATCAAATGGTGGATTGTGTTTGCTATGTGGTTTACCGTAGAGATTTTGTGATAAGAGATATGTATTGGTGTTGCTTGTTCACTACCATAAAATTACATTAAATCAATCAGAATAAATAAAAAAACACATATTCAAGTTAAGGAATAAACTAACGGTTTATAAATTACCACAGTTCTTTAAAAAAAAAAAAAAAAAAAAAAAAAAAAAAAAAAAAAAAAAAAAAAAAAGAAAGAAACACCTCTGCTAATTTGGGGGTAATTAGAATTTTCCGTGTAATAAATGTAAACAAAAGAAAGTAATCACTAATCATAACAGCACCACCAAATCTTCTACTTTAGTTGGGTGATTAAGCTAATTTTACCACATGGGCCCCACCCCTCTCCTTACTTTTGCAAATGCTTTCTCCTCTTTGGTGGGCCCACAATCTCCCCTGCCTCCAAATTCCAAATGTCCCACTCACTATTTATCATCTTCTTCGACAAGGCAAAGAGAGTGATAAAAAGCTATCTAATACCTTTCTCCTCTCACTCATCACAGAGGCAAGAACAACTTAGAGAGAGAAAGAAAGAGGGGGGGAGAGAGAGAGGTCTGTAATGGGAAATTACAAGTTTAGATTATCAGATATGATGCCCAATGCCTGGTTCTACAAGCTCAAAGACATGGGCAAACCCAGAAACCAAAATTCCGCTCACCAAAAGAAGAAGAAAAAACAAACTACATTGCCTTCCTCTAATTCCCCTTCTTCTTCCTCTTATGTCTCTTCTCATTCTTCTTTTTCAACGACAACAACAACCTTGTCGTCTAAGCCAAACCAGACCCACCACCACCACCAACACCGTCCCAGAAAATCCTACTACTTCACAAGAGAGCTTAATTCCCACACAAACGACACAAAATCCCCAGAAAACCATAACAATTTTCCCGAGCAACCGAGAAAATCACCCAAACAGAGACCCACCGCCAGAAAAAGAAGACCCGCCAAACCCTCATCCCACAAGCTCCTCAGGAACAACTGCAAAACGACGCTCGACGATGTCTGGACGACGACGGCGAACAAGCCCGAGTCCTCGCCTGAATTCTCGTCGTCGCCAGAGAGAGAATACCCCGTCGCCGTCACCGGCGCCGACGCCGACGATCCTGAATTCCGATGCGACAGAATTCTCGCCACGCAGGCGTGTGGCTGCCGAGAAAACTGCGAGGAAAATGACATTGTAATCGACGTCGACAAGGCTTCTCTCTCCAAAAGACCCGATTTCGCAGACGGGTTCGACTCCTTTTCCGTCGTTGAACTTCCTCCGATCATAACAAAGCCCTCAAAGCTCAAAAAGAAGAAACTAGAAAGTTCGATTTCACAGAAAGCTAGTCCTCCTGTTAGGAAACTGTCTTCGAATGCTCCGGGAATTCGGCTTCGGATGAACTCTCCGAGGATAATTTCTAGCAAAAGGGTCGTTAGCAGCCATGGAAGGAGAAGCTTGTCGTCGTTTTCTTCGAGCTCGGAGAAGAGAAGAAGCCTCTCGGAGAGCTTCGCTATAGTAAAGTCGTCGTTTGATCCGCAAAGAGACTTCAGAGAATCAATGGTCGAAATGATCGTGGAGAACAACATCAGAGCTTCGAAAGACTTGGAAGACCTTCTCGCTTGTTATCTTTCTCTTAACTCTGATGAGTATCATGATTTGATCATCAACGTCTTTAAGCAAATCTGGTTCGACCTCACTGATATATCCTCCAAGTAAAAAAAAAAAAAAAAAGTATATATATATATATATATATTCTTAATTAGATGTTTAGTATTCAAGTGGGTATTGAAGAATTTCACAATTCTGGATCTTTTGGTTAATCAGCTGAGTATATATGTTCATCAAACTGCAGTGCCGTTATGGGTTTTGATTGAATAATTTGACATGTGTTTCCCCCCCCTGATATATCCCCCAAAAAAAAAAAAAAAAAAAAAGTATATATATATATATATATATATTCTTAATTAGATGTTTAGTATTCAAGTGGGTATTGAAGAATTTCACAATTCTGGATCTTTTGGTTAATCAGCTGAGTATATATGTTCATCAAACTGCAGTGCCGTTATGGGTTTTGATTGAATAATTTGACATGTATAAATTGTTTCCTTTTTAATGAACAAAAACTTAATGAGTTTACGACACATAAATTGGTTAAAAGCTGTAGTTTATGTGTAGAAAACTTTGCATTGTTTTGATGGTGAAGATTGTTGCAATTCACAGCTGGAGTTAAAGCTCAGAAAAACAAAGGCAAGGTGTTGGAAATTTCCTGCAACTACAAAAGTAAAATAGCATTAATTATTAAACAATATATATATATATATATATATGTCTCTGAGTATATGTTTGTATGTGTGTATGCATGTATGTATACTTAAGAAGTCTCCTAGAGATTGTCAATTAAAAAAATAATGAATATCTAGTAGTAGTTATCACAATTTTCTCAATCAATTCCGAATTTGTAGTGTAAAATTATTTGAATTCTTACACAATAAGTTATAGGTCCATCAAAATAACAATCGAGTAATAATCACTAATGATAATTACTAGTGATGACCAGCAGACAAAAAAAAAAAAATAGTGATGGTGCACAATGTTGTTCAATAAAGAATCACATAACAACAAGATATTTCTTCTTTCATTATTTTTGGTCGGATTATTTAATTCAGAATGGGTTTTCCTATGTTGTTCTATTCTCTGTTACAAAATATGGGGGATTACTTTTTCTTTTTTTTTTTTTGGATGAAAAAACATGGGGGCCTATCTTTCTGAAGAGTGTATGGTGTTCCCTTTGTGGTTTTGGGTGTCTTCTTCCCAAAGAAAACCTAGAGGTCAAAAATATTTTTGATCTGATGAATATATGTACTTCAAGGACCCCAAGACCATTTTGGGAATACATGTTAATAAAATAAATTAGAAATAAAAAAACTACTATAAAAATTAGAAAACTTTAGGGACCCTCATGTACAATGACTGACAACTTCTACCATCAAAACATCAGGTTTTTTTTTGCCCCCCACCCCCCAAAGTCCTAAAGAAGATACACTTTAAGAACATGTTCAAGTTTCTATAAGTCTTTTTTTAATCAGAAATTTAAAGCTCTCTCTCTCTGGGCACTGCATTCCGTTTTTGAACTTCCAACTCCTATCAGCAGCAATGGCAGCCTTTGGTGAGAGAGAGACATGCGGAGAAAGGGGAAGAAAAAGAAAAACGTCTAATAAATGGATTTTTTTTTTTTTGAGATTTCTATTAGAATGAATTGTTACTAAATTTATATTTTTTAACCGTTAAATCTACATAAAAAATTATTCATTTTACGTATTTTTTTATTTTAATATCATTTTGATTATATCTGACGGTTAAAACGTATACCATGGTTAAAAACATACCGTAAAAGGATCTTTTTTTTTATTTACCACAAAAGTCCTCAATGGTCAATGTATTTGTTGTAATCCAACACATAAATTATAAAAATTTATAACTTAAGAGTGCGCAAATTTCAAATTTTCTCACGTACGGCTACTGTAAAAGCTTTGGTAAACCCTATAAACTGTTGAAAGCTTTCAAATTTTGCAGCTTATTGTCTAAAGTTGAAGTTCGACATTCAAAAGTTAAAGTTACTTCGAGTATTTCAAAAGCATGCATAAAAAACTTTTCAACGTTAGATGAGGTGCAATTGGGAAAATGGCTCATGTGAAGAAGAAGAACTACGTCTTTTGTGACTTTGTTTTGGTTGTACCGTTTAATAAGGGTTCAAATTAGTTTCTGAAGACAATTATTTTATAGTTAACCATTGGCTTATCTATTGTCGTAAGAGTGTTCAAAATGAAGGTTTAAAAAGGTACCCAAATGCTTTATAAAAAGAGAAGAAAAAGATTATTAATGGCCAGTCTCTTATTCCTTTGAATTATTTTATGTGACAATAACAGTAATCCCTCGATTAAAAAGTAGCCACCAAATAGAAATGTAGTCTCTTTCACGGACAAGGAGTGTAAGCTAATTGACATGCCTATCAAACTAAATGAGAAAACCCAAAAAGGAAGTAACATTATATATATCTTTTATATGGAGAGCTAATCAGATAAATTCTGATTTTTGCGGTTAGAGTTAAATTTAGGAAATTTCTCTAGTTTTATGTTTATCAACCATTAAATCTGTATTATTTTTCAATCTGATTTAACTTTTAACTAGATTTAGTACAAATTTAATAACTGATAAACAGAGAACACTAATATTCTTAAAAAAAAAAAAAAAAACAAATACTAGAGAAAGTCTTTTAAATTTATATATTTTAGAAAGCTCTCTTCTATTCTCCATTGACTCTGAGGAGTATAGTTTTACAAATGGGAAGTAACAATCTTGGTTTAAACACTAATCTTGCTCTATATATTGCCTAGCTACGTACCAAGCATATTCAGAGCAAAATATAGGCCATTGCTACTCCTAATGAGAGTCACAGAAGAATCCTTTAATTTTCCCCCTTAAACACGTCATAATCACACTTGAGTTATATGATTGTTTATGGTCTTCCATGTATTGTAAAGAATAAGAAAAGAAAAGAATTCACGGATCAATGTCTTAACTTTTACCCTTGAGTATTGACACTAATAGTACCTCACTATTAGACATCTAGGTTTCTTTTTAGGTTTCTTTTTCTTTTTTTCTTTTACCCTTAGTATTGACACTAATAGTACCTCAATATTAGACATCTAGGTTTCTTTTTCTTTTTTTTTTTAAGAAAAATATTTTGTTTTTTAATTCCTCATACCAAAAATTTAGTAACCAAAAGTCCTGTTTTTGATAGCAAAATATTTTTGTTACTAAAAAATTTTAATAGCAAAAAGTGTATAGTAAAAAATATTAATTACTAAAATTTTGGTAGCAAATAGTTTTTGCTACTAAAATTTTTTTTGGTAACAAAATGTATTTAATAGCAAAATGTATGATATTTGGAGATCAAAAATTTTGGTAGCAAAAGATTTTTAGTAACAAAAAGTGTGAGTTTTAGAACATTGAAATTTTGGTAGCAAAAAGTACACGATTTGGTCACCAAATATTTAGTAACAAAAAGTATTTAGTAGCTAAAGTCATGAGATTTAAGAACCAAGTAGCAAAATGTATGAGATTTAGTGACCAAATATTTCATAGCAAAAAGGTATTTGATAGCGAAAAATATGAGATTTAGTGACCAAATTTTTGGTAACAAAATGTATTTGGTAACGAAAAGTACAAGATTTAGATACCAAATATTTAGTAGCAAATAACTAATTTGTTGCTACTAAATTTTTTAGTCACCAAAACTAAGACAGATTTATATACTTGTATTTTTTAAATATATATATATAATACCAAATATTAATTTAAAAATCTCTAAATATTTCAATACATATTAGAATCCAAACAAAATACTAAAATAGTCATACTTAAACAAACCCAAACACTTATGCAAATATTGTACTAGTAAAGTCATAGTATTACAAGAATTAAACGCTCTAACAAACTAAGGCCGGTGGTGACAGTGGCGAAGAATCTTCTCTTCTTGGGACGGAAGGTTCATCATGATCTGATGGCGGATTTATCTGCTGAAGTAGCTTTTGAATAAGCTCATGTTGTTGCTTCATTAGAATTTTCATGTCCGACATACGACGTTTGTTTTTCTAAACTTTATTTTGAAGCTTTTCATATCTTAACCCTCTAGATTTGCGAGCTTGTGACACTTCTCTTAGTACAGGACCTATGGCACGCTTGAAACCATAGTTTTCATACCTCTCACTTGACAAAACTTGAGAGTAAATTTCTTCCTCCACATCAGAGTCAAGTTCTGACCCCTCTGGTACTTCACTTAAACGAGCATCGTGAATCTTGATCATTTGTTCCTGTATTAGGCGAAGTTTTATAAACTTTCAAGTTATGGTAAAAAAAAAAGAACTACAAAATCAAACGAAATAATAAAGTATTTAGCTACATAATCTTCCTTTGCTCTCTCAGTTATCCATCCTTGTGATTCGCTCCAATGAGTATTCTTAAAGACCTCAAAGTACCCTTCCAAAGTATTTGAGTCAGAACTCGAATGTGTGTTCTACATAATTCAAGGTAAAACCTCTAACAAAAATATGAAGCTCAACCATATCTATATGATGGAAAAAGCAATTCAAACATTTTTTCACGAACAACGACACTTCCTATCCGCATCTAGGTGATTACGTACTTGTTCAATAAACCTTCTCACTCAAGTCGATTCGTCACATAAATCCAACTCTTATCCATAACTATCCTAAACATCACAAATTGATTAACCAAAACAAATTAACTATTGATATGAGTGTCGTTGGTGGCACAATTATTCTTGTCGAGACATGAACCCACAATACATTAAACGAAAACTTGTCAAGACAGAAGGCAAGTTCGAAAAGTTATCTAAACAAATATGCAATCGATCAGGAAACTCAAGAGAATGTTATTTTCTTCAATAGCCATATGATTCTGATTTTCACATTATACAATTCGATTAAAGTTTCATAAAATTTATTCCCGAACGGTTGAATATTTATATATGGCTCTTATATGACCTGAAGTTCAATAGTCTAAGCAACCGAGTATGTATCCATCTTCTATTCGTTTTTTCTTTCAAAATTCCCGTGTAGAAAAGAAGTGTATTGGGGCATATAATTGAACCATGTTTATACTATGGAAGGAGCTTATTCTTCTTGAGTTGCTAA